AATGAGGTCGATATGTTTAACTTATCGTGCGATTTATCGTTTATCGCGACAGGCCTAGTTCATATGCAACAATTCAGTGACAAAAACACAAAGTTTCTCTAAGATGTAAAATATTTTATTTTCTGTAAATGATTCTAAATCAGATTCACCATATTTTCCAGAAACATCACTTTGTTTACATCCATTAATAAAAAAAAACAGAGACAAGGCTTCATGTCGTCTATCTGTACACAGCAGAGCCTGAATAAACCTCATATTTACACGGCGGCAGATGCCTGCAGCCTAAACTCTGGGTGAAGTAACAGACGCCTGTCCACACAAGGGAGTGGGGGCGGGGGTGCTCTAATCTGTGTCTGACTTTTTACTTATGGTACAGATATTTACACACTGCCACACTGGACCTCAAATGCACCGCAGTTTTAGAAAATAGCTTAATTCATTAATAAATACAAAAAGAAAAAAATCTCTTATTTTACAGGAAACTGATGAGGAGGAGGAAGAGGGGAGGACCAAGCGGTGGAATCAGGTAGGTGTGTGTGTGTTTGTCATTTAATGTTTAGTGCAAGTTAAAGGACGACACATTCGCTTATTTCAGTGGTGTTTACACTCACATTTACAACCAATTTACAGTGAGGACCAGCCTCTTAGTAAGCTCCGCCCCATCAGCACAGACTCCACCCTCTCCAGATTATAAATGTGTCCCATTTGTAAATTAATTAAGTATAAACTTTAGTTCCTCTGATCTAATTAATCAGTTTTATTATGGTGTCATGCTAGCTCTGCCCATAGACCAGTGATGATGTCATGTTAACTCCGCCCACAGTGCGCCAGAGGCCTCCATGCTCTCAGTTCATCCATTTGCGGCAGTTCACGGCTCCACAGTGACACGGGATCTTGTGCTGGTCATCTTCCAGGTCAAACTTGTAGTCGTAGCATAGCTGAAGGGAGCAGAGCTAACATGATGAGCCAATCACATTCAGGCTGCCTGATAATGGACAGATTGTTGCATCGACTCTACCTCCTCTCCTCTCTGAATGCGTCTGCAGGAGCTGATGATGATCTTGTTCTCCTTCTCCACCGTCACCACCTCAGTGATGCAGTTCGGAGCACACGAGTGGTTGATGTACCTGTCAGTCACCCAAAGACCCGCCCCATTCCCAGGTGAGCACAGAGCAGGTTCTGCCAGCAGGCACTTTAGATCTCTGTCTCTTACCTTGCCGGTCCTCCGGTGATGGTAGCGTCGATCACATAGTCGTTGTCAATCCGAAACATGTACACGCCTCGGTTCTGCAAACACCAGAACAGATGATTTACATGAGCTACAAGACCAAAGCAAATCAGAGGAGCTGATTAGTTAATTCTGATCAGGGCACATCCAATCAGATGAGGGGAGTGACCAGGGTCAGGTGTGTCAGGTGAATCACCTGGGCCTCGTATAGCCTCTCCTTGCGGTTGGCGACTTCGCTCCTGATTATTGTCCCAATGTACTCGATGACCATAGTGCACTTCTCGATGTCTCTGGCGGCGTACAGCCCCAGTCCCTGTAAACGCATGCAGAGTTAGCCGCTGGCCCTCGGGTGGGGGGCCTGGGGGGGGGGGGTCGCCCCCTCACCTGGATGCCAGAGCGAGCCAGGTACACGTTGCTCTTCCACTCCGCCTTCATGCGGCGGTACTGGGCCGACTTGGAGTGGCGGCCCTGATGGGCAGCAGCCACCGACTCGCCAGGAGACAAAGACAGAACGCCGGGAACGAGGCCGACGATGGAGCCCACTGAGCCCTGACACCTGGGGGCCACACTGGTCAGCAGGTAAGGTCTGGGAAAGACGAGGCAGGTAAGACAGGTATGGATTCCTCAAGGTTTTGAGCCAAACATCGGTTACTGGTCTGAACCGTTGGCCCTTCTCTGGTCACATATTCATTCTGGATGTTCTCATCATATCAGAAATCTTCCAGCAACTATGATGAAAGCCTGTGATAATTGATATATGATTAAACTAATCAGTGCAGCTTTTTCAGCAATGAGCTTGTGCCTCACTATGTTGTTCAAATTTAGGAACCAGGAATGCTGGGTCTGGTTCTCCTGGTTCTGTCCAGAACCAGAAATCAAACACCAGAAGACACAGAACTATTTAATAAGTCCAACCCCCCACCAAAGTTTGCTGGCTCCACCTGGAAGTAATCAGGAACAGGAAGTGATGTTAACAATAGTCACCCTATTCCTGCCAACTCAGAGACTTTCTTGCTATTTTAGCAACATTTTAGACAAAAAAAAGTGTTGCTCAAAATTTGAATTGGCCAATAAATCTTTTGAAAGATCAGTGATCACAAATTGACCAGAAAACTGCGATCGGTGCAGCTCTAGTCGTTACCTCTTGGCCTGGCAGGCCTTGGGTTCGGAGCGAGCCGAGCCAGAAGGGTTGAAGGCCAGAGGCCATTCCATGAGGGGGTTCCTGCCGTAGCGAAAAGTGTAGCGCTCACACGCCTCGACCCCCGGCAACTGGAGGGAGAGAGAGACATGGTCAGGGTGTGTGTGTCACCGTCAGGGTGTCTCTCTGTCTCTGTGCGTCTTTCAGTTGGACCTACAGACTCGATGATCCGGGTCACGGCAGACGTCTTCAGGCCGAACAGTTCCTCTCCTTTCAGGTAAACAGGAAACAGCTTCAGAGTCCCGCTGCAGCTCCTCATCCGGGCCACCGCCTCCAGAACCTGAGCCCACGCCGCTGCACACAGAGTCGGGTCGAAGCGGGTCAGAGAGTTGGAGAGTCTACTCACCTGCTCCTGGTTACCGTGGTGACTACCTGTCGGCGTGGTCCCTGTCAGGACGACGTCGTCGTGACCTTTCTCAACCACCTTGACCTTGAACAGCGGCCGGGATTCATGCTCCTCGATGTAGCACAGGTACTTGCAGCGTCTGCGGGTGGAACCGTTCGTTAGTTCTGATCCAGAACCTCCAGAACCATATGGAACTCCACTGACCCAGAACCAGCAGAACTATGACTGCTCTCAATTTCTGGCCCGGTGTTCTTGCTCTGACAGAATCATGTTTTCTGCTGTGATATGAATAAAACAGAAAATCGGCCATCTAAACTCAACCGATGTTTCCGTGGCAACCGTTTGGGTGGTAGATCGTTCACATTAATTTATGAAATTATTTAAAACCTTAGCTTTTATATATACATGTCTTCTTTATTAAAGTTTCTCTAAAACATTTAAAGCTGCAGTAACTTTAATAAATCTTTTTCCATATTTTATTACAGTCACCACTTTAATATGAGACAGAATTGAGCTACTACACTTCCTCACCTGTTGCTGTAGCGCATGCTCCAGTAGAAGCGGTTGGCATGGTAACCGACTGGGAAGATGGCAGCCTCGTTGTGGAAGGCATCCATCTGCTGTGGGAGGAGCCTCCCAACGGCGCGGAACAGCAGGCTGCCGACACGGAAGGTGTGCTGTCGCTCGCCCCGCTGCACGACAGCGGCGATCTGCCGCGCCTCGTCGCGTTGCACAAAGACTCGCCGAAATACAGCAAAGCAGCGCAGCTCCGAGTCATACGGGTCGGAGCCGGGAGTGGGGTCGGAGGTCGGGCCGGGCGTGGAGAACGGGGAGGAGCTGGATGACCTGTCCCCGCTCACAGGAAGGGTCCTGGGCTTATGGAGGTAGCACAGCATGGTCTTATCCTGTCAGACAAAGAACAGCGTGACTGAGCATGCTCAGACTGCTCAGGTGATCAGGGCTTGCTGCGATTCGGTACCTTGAAGAAGGTGCAGTGGGCCTGCAGGGCGCAGGTGAAGTGATAGGTGTTGGTGCAGCGGAGCCGGTTGCAGCCGGTTGTGGCGCCGCTGCGGCTGCAGTGGGCGCAGCGGAGCGCCAGGCCCCGCCGCAGCGCCAGCTCTACATTGATAAGCGCGCCCGCCTGCGTCTCGTACACCTCACTGGACCACAGAGCGCAGTTCAGGTGCACCTGCAGAAAAACACATAGGTATGTCGCTGCGGGTTTTTTAACATTTTTTTTTAAAGGTTTTGTTGGCTCCAGCAGCCTTTATTTGAAAGTCGTTCAACAGGAAACAGGGTAATGAAAGAGGCGGCCTGGCAAGTGTTGCCAGGCCAGAAATTGAACCTGCGACCACCGCCACGAGGACTAAGGCCTCAATACGTGGGTTGTGCTTCGCTCCCCGTCACTACGGTTTTATGAATCCCTACAGACCGCCAGAGGGCGGAGCTGACAGCACTGAATGACTAATGCCATCGATGTCATAAGGAATCCTGAGCACACACCTCGATGAGGAGGCCCAGATGACTCTTGTAGAATAACATGAACCAGAAAACGATGCCTTGCTGTCTAATTTGCCATGACTGAATGGTCCATTCAAGCACTTCCAAGGCAGCCAAACTGAACAACTCCCCTGGCACCACAGGAAGACTGCGGAGGGTCCTAAGGCATGTTTCAGTCGATGTAGACCGAGCCAGTCAGAACTGTCGACAAG